CAGTTAGAGAATCTGGAGTCAGAGAATCTGGAGTCAGAGAGTCAGTTAGAGAATCTGGAGTCAGAGAATCTGGAGTCAGAGAATCTGGAGTCAGAGAATCTGGAGTCAGAGAGTCAGTCAGAGAGTCAGTCAGAGAGTCTGGAGTCAGAGAGTTAAGTCAGAGAATCTGGAGTCAGACAATCTGGAGTCAGAGAGTCTGGAGTCAGAGAGTCAGTCAGAGAATCTGGAGTCAGAGAGTCTGGAGTCAGAGAGTCTGGAGTCAGAGAGTCAGTCTGAGAATCTGGAGTCAGAGAGTTCAGGCAGAGAATCTGGAGTCAGAGAATCTGGAGTCAGAGAGTCAGTTAGAGAGTCTGGAGTCAGAGAGTCAGTCAGAGAATCTGGAGTCAGAGAGTTCAGTCAGAGAACCAGAGTCAGTTAGAGAGAATCATTTTAACACCTTTTATAAACTGATTTCATATAATAGTTACAAAATGTTAACATCTGAGAGTTCAGATTTTACAAAGTCAGTGTTTCTGTCTTCAACTAACTGTCACTATAAATGAAATGATATCTCTTGACGTCATGTGGAATTAGCGCTGTTCCCAGCTGCCATTTTCTTTTTGCTACACAAGTCAGGTACTCCGCAGAACTGAGTCCGCTCAGGAACGCTAACGAAAACAAGACTTTCGGTTTAACAATCGTACCAAACTGTTCAGTCTAGGGTTAGTATAGAAATATAAAACAGTTAACCCGAGAGTCGCGAGATGGGATCCCGAACGCGATTACGTAAGATGTCCCTGAGCCCACCCAGCTCTAAAGGGTACCTGACTCACGTTACGGAAAACTAAATTTGCTGGCCATACTATCTTTTTATAAGCTGAGGTTATTGAAACAGAGGAACTCTGCTTTCTCTGCCTCATTCGTTTTGGGAACTTGCGGGAAAAGATGAATATAAAATTCTACAAAGGGTTTGTGTATTTTAAAAATTGTGTTAACCCATATTATCCCAAGGTCTCAAATTTTTATAATTTTTTGATATGGTTTAGCTTTTGGGCACTGAATGAAGGAATGAATATGGATTTTTTTTTAAAATCAATACTTTTTTAAATATCGATTTTTAAAAAAACGTCCCATAAATGGGACGCTAGCAACGAACGGCCCCATGTACATTTATTGAAAAATAAAATCATTTTTCACAAAATATGGCTAATCACGCGAAAATTAAGCTGTATACTGATTTTGTATTGTTAGACCAATGATTTCATTGTTTAGGACAGCTAAAAATATTGATAATGATCAATTGGGTTAGCCATACCATGGTCTAAAATGCAAAAATTATGTTCAAAAGTCTAGTTTTCTTTCAATCTAGCATCCATCAAAGTGAACAACACTTGGAAATAAGTAAAGCTGTGGCTAGTACATCTTATTATACACACATGATCACAAATATTGTTATTATTCATCGAAACTGTAATATAATTAAATATAGAAAATTGATTTTTTTGGGGGGCGTACTTGAAATTTTCAGGAGTGGGGACTTGAATTTCAGGGGAAGGGTGGACATTGGTAAAAGTATGTTTTGTATATAAATTCCATTTTCTTCTGGGGGCAGAGCCCCCCCCCCCTCCTTCGAAATGATGCCTGAAAGAAACTCTGCCCTTAGTGAATTTGCAAAAGATGATCCGGTCCAGTCCCAGATGTCATCCAGCCATCTTCTCTTTTGTTACCCTCGCTATTCCCCCCCCCCCCCACAGGCGTACATTAGGACATCAGACATCTTAGTTCTAGGGCACGGATCCGTCTCTGGGGGCTTGTATTGAGTGTTCATGGCTCTCATCCATGTATGCACCTCACTATGCGAACAGCTCCCAATCTAACAGCAGGAATCTCCTTAAAAAGTTAACAAAGTAAAGCTGGTATCGGTAACCTTTGGAGGGGGATATTATTGGGGCATGACAACTGTACACAGCTAATTCACATTTCTGCTATATGTAGCTTAAGCTCTCTTATATGAAGAGAGTTAATCAACCCCCATGACTGAATCATTTCACCTAAATCGTGGCCATTGTTATTATTCTGGTTTGTTATTGTTTTAATATCATGCGCTAGTAAATTTACAGCAATACTAAATTAGTTTGTATTCAATGGTATTAAATACTTCAGTAAGTGTAATTCTGAAAACTTAAAAATAAAATGTAAGTTTTTCAATATTTGCAATTTTCTAATACAATAATATATAAGAAAATATAGCTCAAGGTCATAATTAAATATCTATAAATACTACTTAACACCCCAACGTCAACAGTTAACAAAGTCAACAATTGTTTCACCATAAATAACCATTTCACATAAATATTTGCATCTGTGTTTCACGCTAGTGTCCAATAAATGTGACGTTTGTGTAACAATCTGCATAAATATAGGTCAAGGTCATAATTAAATATCTATAAATACTACTTAACACCCCAAAGTCAGCAGTTAACAAAGTCAACAATTATTTCACCATAAATAACCATTTAACATAAACATTTGCATCTGTGTTTCTCGCTAGTGTCCAATAAATGTGACGTTTGTGTAACAATCTACATGGGGCCATTCGTTGCTAGCGTCCCACTTATGGGACGCTTGTTGTACACTTGATATAACGAAGTAGTAAAAAAAAAATTGTTATTCTTAAATTTTTATCAGATAGAAATATGGTACTGCTACAAGTTTCAAATGTATTTTGCACTTAAAATGTTAATATTTTAGAAGATATGCATTTTCCTGTGCGCATGTTTTCTTTTTTCCGCCATTTTGACAAGTCCTGCAAATCTGGCACTATAACATTTTTCTAAATTAATTTTTTTCACAAAACACACACAAATTCAATAGTCCAGCCATTTTCAAATACAATGAAACATAATTTGTGTTTTAACTAGTTGTTAATAAATTGTAGCAATTTTTTTTTACAAGCGTCCCATAAGTGGGACGCTAGCAGAATATGGGTTTAAAGAAGTGAATTGTACCTGATAAAAATAGTGATGTTGATAATGTTGGAGACCACGCCAAACAAGCTGATACAGCCACATAATATCACAGTGACTAATATCTCGAAGAGTTGTCGTTCCTTCTCCGTGATTAAGTCCATTGTGTTGGTTATTTCCCCTTGTTTTTCTGTTTCGGTGGTCATATTGACAGCCATGTCAAAACAAAAGGCAGAAACAGCAGTCGACAGCTAACAGTACATACAGCCAACAGCAGCAACAGCCAACAGTAGGTACAGCCAACAGCAGTCTACAGCCAACAGCAGTCTACAGCTAACAATAGATACAGCTAAGCGCAAACACTACAACGAATGGCTATACTTCTATTCACATTGTGTGGGTGCTATTTTAAGCACAAAACGATCAAACGAGCCTCGCTTATTTTATGATATTTTTTTTTTAAAACTAGTTTTAAAATAAAAGAAACAAAACAGTAATTAGAAAGAAGAATATTTATTGATCAGTATGATCGCCTAACAACATAGTTTAGTTAAGGTTTGTTCCATATCTTCTGATCTTTGTATGCAATTACGTTTTATTTCAACGTTAAACTTCAGAAAAAACTAACCAGCATTTTAAAAAGTCAAACAGCAACGATCGATAAATGACTGTGGTTAATAGTACCTTATTGACTATAATATTACATAATTAAACATTTTTCAAAAGAAATTTTTTTGAACATTTTCACAAGGGATATGATTAAATTTTTAACATCTCATAATCTTAGCAAGCAACCAGTTATCTCCGTAAACAACTAAGTATGTTAGTAACCATCTAATTATCAAATTACGATGGTCTATTTCTCTAAACAAAAAACACAACACAGTATCGTCCTGTTTCCCTGCTACGTTCCAGTGTCGTCCAACATTGAAGATTTGTGTGTGTGTGTGGGGGGGTGCGTGTGTGTGTCTGTGGGTGTGTGGGGGGTGTAGGTGTGTGGGTGTGGGTGTGTGTGGGGGGGATGTGGGGGTGTAGGTGTGTGACTGTGTTGGTGTTTGTGTGTGTGGGTGTGTGGGTGTGTGTGTGTGTGCGTGCGTGCGTGTGCGTGTGTGGGTGGGTGGGTGTGTGCTGAAGTTACTTCCAGGGTCACTCCAAGATCTTGTGTTACGTTTTAGAGGAGGGGAGGGTGTGTTTAATTTATGTCAGGTGGTGTCTTTTTCTTCTTTCTTACTTGAATGTTCGTTGAAGGATTTAAACAAGTCCAACTTCGTTGATGAACTGGACTTTGGTCTCCAGGTCTACGGGTGCCCCATTTAATTTTTCCTGGTGGGGTAGCAAAAGAGCCTCCGATATCTGTGTCCAACATGTGAATGGATTCGAACCCTTTATCTTCCCGACACAACCAGGACGGGCAATGTTTAGGCCAGGCAGACACCCAGTGGTACCCAGACTCCCACCCCCCAGCCGCGGGACCCGTGGGGCACCGTCAGAGTTTTACTTCCACCCTCCAGTACATCTCATCACATGCTTGGGGTGAAAAGGTATTTCTATATCGGATAGTAGGCATGTGTTCTACCTCTAGACCACGCCATTCCGAGGTAAGAATTAAACAGACGGCTTTGTTGCTTGATGACGGAACATGTAAACATTGACCCCCACGTAGATCTCCTGACGTGTTACATGACACTCGACTGACAAACCCTAGAACATTTGTTATCAGTGTACAATAACAAACAATATGTTGTATATGCACACACTAACATCTAAAATCTCTCGCTAATTACAAACTTCAGACCCTCAAAACCAGAGCATCATAAAATTACCTCACCAACGTAGCTAGCTCTCTCTATACTCACTTTCACTTTCACATAACATATTCTTGAACTACAGAACATTTCGCCAACGTAATTACAAATTAATTAAAGTATTTAACGTACAATAATACATCCACTGTGTTATGTTAAGATTAATTAATTCAATAACTGCTTAATTGTTTAATGCAATTTTACATTCAGATTCACTAAAATACTAAAGTTTAAGCATTCATACCTCGATCGTAACACAATATGGAAATGCTACGATAAATAAAGCGTAATATTCTAACAACTATAGTAGGCCCCACAAGGGCTAAATGCAGAAATACAAAGTACAATATCACAATTTGAATATAAAATATGTAAAAGAAATATATATTAAAAATAAAAATCCTGAGAATTGTAGATCAGTTTTTCTTTACACGATACTGATATATAGGGCCTACAACTGATCAAAAAACTGGTATCGCGACCTATACTTTAATGTATCGATCTTATCTTTCTTGCTAGTACTCGATCCCGCCCTTACAGTGGCAGTGATTGTCTTGATAGCATATGGCAGAACTGTTCTTACACGGGCCGTGGCAATCGGTATCGAATACACACGAGATGTGGCCGTAATCTGAAAATAGAATCGATATAACATGTGCTTATTTCCTTGGCTTTAGTTCTTTACTCAAGTAAAAAGTAAAAGAATCATCTTTAGAGCTAGCGAGCCAGTGGGCAGATGAAGTAGAGTTCATGTTTCTTGACCTCGGCATATGAAGGGAAGTTGTGGTTAGCACTTTGTCCAGCCGCCTTTTCTTTCCCAATCGTGAGTTAGGTACCCATCAGAGCTGGGCTGACTCAGGGACGGTCTATGAACTTGGACACGTATCCTTACAGCAGCCTTATAAAACGTTCTCTGAATGTTGTAGAAACATTTGCACTCTACTTCACCTGCACCACTCATCGTTCGATCTGAAAAGGGGAACCTGTACTTACCATGACAATGACATTCATTGGTGGCTGTGTTGCACGTGGCGTGGTCCTTCTCTGCGCATGCGCCTGGATAGCAGTCGTGATTGGTGGCGCAGAAGGTGTAGGGGTGGGGAGGTTCTGGACGTGTTTCGAACCCGCACCTTCGACAGTGGCAGTGGTGGCCGTTGTGGCAGAAGGCGTCGGGACTGTCGCAGAACGTCTCGCAGACGTCATCGCTGATGCAGGGGACGTCGCCGTACTCTGTAAATGTAAATGTTGGCTCAAGTTAATCAGCTGATCATACAAGATAGGCCAAAGCTGAATGTAATAAAAAAAAAAACGCTATAGGCAAAGTAAAAAAAAAATAAAATAAAATAAAGATCTTGGGGGGTTTTTACCAAATAAGCACCTCGACATTTAACGCTCGCAAACTTAAGGGTTAGAGTTAGCGTTAAAAGTACCGGATGTTGACAACTAGAGTTACCTATCAGAATGTTGACAACTAGAGTTACCTACCATGACAGTGACATTTGCCGGACCTGACGTCACAGACAGCGTGTGCTGGACGGAGACAGGATGACAGACAGTCCATGTCGGACAAGCACGCGGTGCTGGGGTGACAGCTGTGGTCATCGTCCTGATGGTGACCTTGACCCCCTCCATGTCCACCCTGGTCACTTCGACCTTGAGGAGATGCATCCGTGTCATCTTGACCTCTACTGTTCCCATCCTGGTCATCGTGACCGTGAACATACGAGTCGTCTTGACCACGCCTACCTTGGCCACGCCTATTTTGACCACGCCCACCTCGAACAAACGAGTCGTCTTGAACTTTCTGATCTTGACCACGCCCACCTTGAACACGCCCATCCTTGTGACGCCCATCTTGAGCACGCCCATTTTGGCCACGCCTATCTTGATCTTGACCACGCCCATTTTGGCCACGCCCATCTTGATCTCGACCCCGCCCATGATGACCACGCCCATCCACGCCCAGCCGCCCCTGACCCAGCTTGCTCTCTCTGACGTACGCCAGCCTGGGGCCAGCCTGACAGCCGCTCCCCTCACACCGACCACAGTGACAGTGGTGACGGTTGTGACAGTAGGCGTCACGTCTGCCACAGTGTGACACACACACGTCATCATCCACACATCTGACCTCACCGTGACCTGCAACACGATCGATACAGTCTATAAATAGCCTGGTCACATTACTTTTACTACTAACTCCGAACCAGACCGAATTGACAGAAAGAACGTTATATTAACGTTTATTAACAATCAAGTCATATTTAAAAACACCATCCCCTTTCATATCACCCCCCCCCTACTATATCCGACCCCCTCCCACTCACCGAGTATATCAGACAGCCCCCCCCCTTCATCAACGACTATATCTAAACACTGACAAGTTATTACTTTTAATGCTAAATATACTACTTGATCTAGGCCAAATTAAGGAGCCGATGTGTCTCAGTGCTTAATTTTAACGTGTTCAAATCTTAGATCTTCTGAACGGAACTTTGTTTAAAGCTTTTATAGTTCGTGGGATATCTATGCTACTATGGTTTATGTTGTTTTGTATGTTGCAATGGATTATGAGTTTTGTTTACCAACACCCCCACCTTTCCCGGAGCACGTGTCCCCCCCCCCCCCAACACTAATGGACGTAACGAAAAACAGTATATATTGGAGATATATAGGCCTACCTTACTTACTAGTGTCCGTCGCAATAAATTTTAAATGCTCCCCCCCCCCGGACAAAAAGGTCTGATATAATCCCTGTTTTTAAGGTAGGCCTTACATGGTTTATGTTTTTGTATATAGTAATGATGAGTTATGTTGCTTGTTATGTAATGAGGGGTTATGATATGATGTTTTGCATGTAATGATGGGTTGTCCAACCTACCGTGACAGTGACACATCTCTGATGTCACGTCGCAGACGGCGTGATCCTGGTCCGGGCAGACAGCGTGACAGTCGGCCTTGACCTCACAGGGGTGAATCGTGACATCGGCGTGATCACGTTTTGTGTTGGCCGTGGCGTGATTCACGTCCATCTTGACGTGACCAGAGTTTGTCTTCACGTGGGAGAGATCTGGGGTCAAGCAGGGAGAGAGCTGGGGTCAAGGTCAAGGTCAGTCCAAGGTCAGTCCAATGCCAAACAGTGGGCTCTTCTAAAAACGGGTAGTTTGGCCACTGTTAGTTAACTAAATATCAATATAAAATATGCCAATGTAAGAATAAGCCTAACTGTCGCTAACCCAACTCCTACCATAGCCCTAACGCTAATTTATGAGCATAACATAAGCATACTACTTCCAAGCAGAGTTTCTTCCAGGCATCTCTTCGGGGGGGCTAAGCCCCCCCGAAAAATTTTTACCGCCCCCCCCCCCCCCCCGAACGAAATGAAATGTATATAATTTATATAGAAAATATATACTTTTAACAGTGTCCGCCCCCCCGAAGAAAGTTTACCGCCCCCCCGAAGATTTCAAGTGCCCCCCCCCCCCGAGAAAAAAGTCTGGAAGAAACACTGCTTCCAAGCTATCATACCTATTTTCGGAAGAGTCCATTATCTGACATTAGTAATACTAACACTCCATCTACCCTAACTAACTGTTGTTACAAGTTTAATTATCAAACCTTTGCAAGGCATCGCTCACAAAATCTCTTTTTTTTTCATTTTAATTACTTAAAGTCATTAACTCATGATAAAACACTATTTTTTTCGTATGTATTGTTTTTATGATTTTTGGTTCTTATCATCGTCAGTATGGGGGGGGGGGGCGTTCGTGATAGGGATTATGTCTTGTGGGTCGTGAGGGGTTCATGTCCAGAAGGTTATTTCGCGTTATTTTTTTTTTATCAACCACCGCAAAATCGTATTTTATTTGTTGACCACTCACCTTGACATTGGCACCTGTGGGCGGTCACGTGACAGACGCCACGCCCATCCCCACACCACCGACTACAGTGCTGGTCCTTCTGACAGTAGGACACTGGGTAGGACTTGGAGGACCTGTAGGACTGGGGCGCTGGCACGGCGCTACCTGATAAATAAAGAAACCCGGTTATCACAATTTGATTGTAGCCTCGCCACACGGTGGTGTTGGGGACCTAATTAACCTCGCCACACTGTGTTGGGGACCTAATTAACCTCGCCACACTGTGTTGGGGACCTAATTAACCTCGCCACACGGTGGTGTTGGGGACCTAATTAACCTTGCCACACTGTGTTGGGGACCTAATTAACCTCGCCACACTGTGTTGGGGACCTAATTAACCTCGCCACACTGTGTTGGGGACCTAATTAACCTCGCCACACTGTGTTGGGGACCTAATTAACCTCGCCACACTGTGTTGGGGACCTAATTAGCCTCGCCACACGGTGTTGTTATTGTGGACCTCGCGATCAGACTCGACCCCACGACCACTGGTCTAGCGCTGTGGCTGATACCTACACCAGAGCTGCCGTACACGTGCACGTGTCGTATCAGTGCTCACCTTATGTGCGATTCTATCTGTGCTCACTTTGTGTGCGTCATGTGCGAGCCTCTGCTCACCTTATGTGCGTCATGAGCGTACATTAGGACGGTACTGATGTAGTGAAGGACTTTGACAGTTAACAAAAAACATTCGTTCGACAACTGCAGTATCATTTTAAAATTATCAGAAATTTTTTACTAAGTCTTCATCCGGATAAGCTTTAAAATAAATTATTAAAAAATTGGCCAATTTATCTACGAATTTAACAAGACTAGAAATATTTGGGATTAACGCGAAAAATGAAATAAAACGTTAAGAATAAAATATAACAGCTAATAGAATATTTCGCAGCATATACAATTTAAAAAAACAAATAAAATATACCAATGAAAAAAAAAGGAATAGTGCCATTTTTGTTATTTTTTTCTTTGCTAACACAATTACGATGAGTAGGTTTACAAAATAAAGGATTATATTATAAATCTTAACTTTTAACCTTTAGTTAATATGGATATCGAAAGTCACCGTTTACGTCCAATAAACATACAAATATAATATTAAACAATTGTTTAACTCAAATTAACAGCTAATTAATTAGAATATTGGTTTATTACCTAAATATGAAACGAATACGCAAACTAGCACAGTATGCAACATTTTCCCCCAAGAAAATATTATCCAAGACATTTTCTTATCCGGCATTATTTCTTATACTGTTGGGTGAATGTTTGTGTGGCTATTTATAGCCGGCTCGAGTTGGCGCCATCTGCAGTACAAGTTTCAGACGAGGGGGGGGGGGTGTTTGTTCGATGGACCGTAGCAGACGATAGGTAAGTGGGGTCGGTATTGGACAAGTGGGTTTTGTTTACATTAGGGGTCGTCTTCGGGAAAATAAAGCTTAAACATGAGTAATGGATGCTGCAGTTAATTGTAGGTGCTGTAGTTTGTTACATAAATTATTGCCCTTGTTTTCTTGGTTTACATAAATTACCGCCCTTGTTTTCTTGGTTTACATAAACAATTGTCCTTGTTTCGTAGTTTACATAAATTACTGCCCTTGTTTCGAGGATTACATAAATTACCACCCCTTGTTTTCTTAGTTTAAATTAATTATTGCCCTTGTTTTCTTGGTTTTACATAAATTATTGTCCCTGTTTCGTAGTTTACATAATTTACCGCCCTTGTTTTCTTAGTTTAAATTAATTATTGCCCTTGTTTTCTTGGTTTACATAAATTATTGCCCTTGTTTTCTTGGTTTACATAAATTATTGCACTTGTTTTCGTGGTTTATATAAATTACTGCCCATGTTTCGTAGTTTACATAAATTACTGCCCTTGTTTCGTGGTTTACATAAATTACCGCCCTTGTTTTCTTGGTTTACATAAATTATTGCCCTTTTTTTCGTGGTTTACATAAATTACTGCCCTTGTTTTCTTGGTTTACATAAATTATTGCCCATGTTTTCTTGGTTTACATAAATTAATGCCCATGTTTTCTTGGTTTACATAAATTACTGCCCTTTTTTCACGTATTTCGGTTTAGTGTGTAAAATTAATTTAAAGGCCAAATTAATTTTTGTATTACATCTTTCTGGATTCTAACTTTCTACCTATGTAAATCTGCATCCTAATTTGCATAAGTGAAAGGGATCTAGAAAGTAAACAAATAAGACGACGGTGTAAGAGGTAAACATTTCTTAAAGTTGACTTTTGTTGGCCCCAGCGTACAAAAACAAGCCACTTCATAATTCAAGTGTTGTTTGAAATTCAAATGTTGGGTGAAATTCAAGCGTTGTGTGAATACAGAAATGTAAGGGCTGGGTGTCAGATATCACCTTCATGGTGACGTGTGGGGGTCGGGGTCAGATGGCCCCACCATTTTAAAGTGTGGGGGTCGGGGTCAGATGGCCCCACCATTTTAAAGTGTGGGGGTCGGGGTCAGATAGTCCCACTATAGTGGCGTGCGGGGGGGGGGGGGGGTCAGATGGTCCCACTATGGTGATGTGCGGGGGTCGGGGTCATATGGTTCCACTATGGTGACGTGCAGGGGTCGGGGTCATATGGTTCCACTATGGTGACGTGCAGGGGTCGGGGTCGAATGGCCCCACCATTTTAAAGTGTGGGGGTCGGGGTCAGATAGTCCCACTATAGTGACGTGCAGGGGTCGGGGTCACATGGTCCCACTATGGTGGCGTGTGGGGGTCAGATGGCCGGACTATGGTGACGTGTGGGGGTCAGATGGCCGGACTATGGTGACGTGTGGGGGTCACATGGTCCCACTATGGTGACGTGTGGGGGTCAGATGGCCGGACTATGGTGACGTGTGGGGGTCACATGGTCCCACTATGGTGACGTGTGGGGGGTCACATGGTCCCACTATGGTGACGTGTGGGGGTCACATGGTCCCACTATGGTGACGTGTGGGGGTCACATGGTCCCACTATGGTGACGTGTAGGGGTCAGATGGCCGGACTATGGTGACGTGTGGGGGTCACATGGCCGGACTATGAAGACGTGTGGGTTCGGGGATCAGATGACCCCCCTCTATGGTGACAACCACTATGGTAACGTACAGATGCCAGCCTACAATTGATGGTTGTTGATCTGTTCAGTCAAGCGAGGAATTGGGGTGGGGGGGGGGGGGGGTCTGGTTTAGTAAACATGTATTGAAAGGTTGGGTTGTTGTTTTGGATTGATCTGTGGGGGGGGGGGGGGGGGAGTGTCATAGAAAATGTATTGGTGGGGAGGGGCAGACTAACGATTAATTGGTGGGGGTCAGAGAATATGGTATGGTGGGGGGGGGGGGGGTCATAGCATATGGAATTTTGGGGTCAGAGAATATGGAATGGTGGGGGTCACGTGACGATGTAAACATATATCATGGCAGTTTGCGATTTGAGAATTCGTCATATATTGACACGGAGCCATGAATAGACTTTTACCATCCATGATAACAATCTGACCAACAACAACAAGTTTTCCTGCAAGTCTAACACACAAATGTTGCCGGTGAAGCAGCTCTATATGGGGTCATGGACCGCTGACTTTGCTTATTGAATCAACTGCTAGTCTTTTGACGCCTGGTTTGACCTTCGACCTCTTTAGTACCGTGATACGCTGTAGAATAAAAACTTTCACGGGGAAATCTAAACGGCAGAATGACAAGTCAATTCATCATAGGTCAGATGGTTGGGTTCAATAGACGGCTATTTATAGCCTGCTAAAGTACATTGCTTTTTAGTGATTTTATACATGAAAACAACATTACCCACATAAAGCACCCTACTCCACATATACCACTCCAAACATTTATATCACAATCCCATCGACAAAACCAATAACCCACATAACATACCCTGATTCACACGTCCCACACCCCACTCCACTCCACACACCACACACCCCCCACATACACACCACACCACATACCCTATTCAACAGACTCCACTCCACACCCCACCATACCCACACCACATACCCCATTCCACACACACCACTCCACACACTCCACACCCCTCACCATACGCCACACCACATACCCCCACACTCCATACCCCCACAACACACACCC